CTGGCCCTAGTTTTCAAACTTTGATCAGACTTCCACCTCTGATTGAAGAGGCAAAATAAATATCTATTAGAACTCTCTTAAAGGCTCACATTTTGAGAATTTTTCAATATTTGGAAAACAAAAGAGCTGCTTCCTCTTTGGACAGCAGGTTGTCAGTCACTTTGAACTTGGCTCATAGCTGAACAGACTGTGAGTGGTTATGCGTGGTGTGTGGATGCACCCCCCATCCTGCATCAGAGTGGAGAGCACACAGCACACAATCCAGTAACAACAAAGCAGCTTTGCCTCCCAGCAATCTAAGTCCATGTTTTTCTCCTTTTTTACTTCTTAGTAAAATAAAAGGGAAATTAGTGAGTGAATTAACTTGATGCTTTAGAAGAAAATTTCTCCCATGTGTCTCTAGGAATACTAGTCTTTAGAGCACCCTCAAATTCCTGCTGTCACAGGTGCACAGGGTGGGACCTTTGGAATGCACTTGTGTGAGCACCTTGTGCTTCTCCAGGACTGTGGGCCCCTGAGGCTGTGGGACTTGGCATTTCTTTGTCTTTTGCTCCATGACATTTCTCATCAGGCGTGTGGCCTCATGTCACCTCAGGGTGAGCTGCAATCATGCTAGCACATGGCTTGGGAAGACCTGGACCATCTTTCTTCCTACTGATCTTCTTGGTGAAATAGACATTAACAATTGTGTCACATTTTTGTCAACATACCTCGTGGTTTCCTTCCATGCAGTTACTTAGAAGAAAATCAAAAGACAGAAAGCTTAAAAAAAAAAAAAAAAAGCCAGTGTATTAGTTGTTAAATGAAGGGAATTCAGCATCGGAATATAAAATTAATCTGTCATGGAAGGACTCATAGGTGAGCTAGAGGAGCAGTGGCTGGGACGGGGCACACTCAGGTACCAAATCTGAAGGGATGGGCTGTGTGCTGTAGAAGAGAGATCAGAGTTGTAAACATTTTCAACAGTATTAATATTTTCTATTTCTAGACTACTGTGGGGTGAATATATAAATTAATGTAATTTTCAGAGCCTCTGCATGTAGAATTTACACTTTTTTTGTCTGTTATTTATTCATTTATTTCATTCATGTTGTGGTATAGAGATCAAACCCAGAGACACTCTATCACTGCGCAACAGCTCCAGTAACTTTTCTTTTTCATTTTGAGACAAGGTCTCACTCAGTCTCCCAGACTGCCTTCCAAATTGTGATCCTCCTGCCTCAGCCTCCCAAATCCCTGGAATTACAGGCATGTTCCTCCATGCTTGGCTCTCTTCATTCTTTATAAGTAAGTGTCTCTGCTGAGCTGCTGAGCTGCCTAAGTGACTAGGAAAAAAAAAATGAATATAGCCACTAGCTTTGACATAATAGTATTTTATGGACATGCTGTCTAATTATAGTTTACGGAGGAAACTTTCAAAAAGCTCAAATTTTTTGGGTGATCTTCTGAGAGACAGGGAGATGAATGACCCCCAAGAGGATATGCATGTCCTGGTCTCCAGAATCTATGAATATGCTACCTTGCAGGCTAAAAGGAGTTTTACAGCAGCGATTAATCTGTAGCTCTTGAGATGAGGAGATCATCCTAGATTATCCTGTGGCCCTAGCGTAATCACAAGAGCCCTTATAAGAGGCAGGCAGGAAGGCCATACTTTGTGAGAGGACAAGCGGATTCCAGCGCTCAGAGCCTCTGAGAGCTGTAAGCCAGCCAATACTTCTGACCTCTGACTTCCAAGACTGTCGGATAGTACATGCGTGTGTTGTTTGAGTCGCAGGAGCAATGGGAAATTGATAAAGTGATGAAGAATTTCAGTCACTTGTGGGCTGGTGATAACTGGCTGCCATGTGCCAGGGTCCAGTGCCCAGCTCATCTGACTTGACCTTCTAGAAGGCCAGAGAATCTGATTTCAGAGTGCTGATGGCTGCTGTGCACATAAGATCCTCCAAAAGTGGACAGTAAAGAAGGGGCAGAAAAGTGCAGATGGGACTCATTTTAATGGGGCAGTGGGTCCAAGAAGGCCTCAGCAGGTGATGTTTGAGCTGGCACTGGAATACAGAGAAGCAACAGCTTTTCTGACCTCTGGAGCAAAAGGTTTCCAGCAGGGGACCGAGGAAGTGTCAATATGCGGGATGACTACCGCTGATCTAGGAGGCCTGGGAGTCTTGGGGTGTGGGGAATCCTCTCTGCTGTGCCCGCTCAGATTTAGAGTTTAGTGAGCAGAGTGCTGGGATTTCTTTCCAATCCGGATATGCTTAAGAGGTTCTTTTCATGCGTGGTTCTCACCTGAGTGTGTGGTTGAGTTTGCATTCGGGAGGCATCAGTTAATACAAAGGGCTGTCTGTCTGTTTTTCCTGACATCCTGTGGGGTGGAAGGGATCACAGCCCATCCTCTGCTTATTCCTTAGAAAACTTCATCCCAGAACTCAGCAGGCAGCATCCTGAGCCAGCTTAACTCCCAAAGCCCTTCACACAGCCTGTGATGGAGCCAGGATCTTTCTACTCCTCCCCTTAAATTGCAAACAGGCTTTGCAATGTGGATCTGGGCAGCCCGGGTCTGCAGCGGCAGGGCAGAGCCAGCCCGCTTGGGCGGGGATGGGGCCTCCTGGGACCTCTGTGTGCCCAGGTCTTTGCAGGCAGAGAAGAGAAGATTTCTGTTACGGGCTCATTATGAATAAGTCACAGAGCTCCAAAATTCACAGGTCTGTTTCTGCTCTCTTATAACCCACACCGTCAAATGGTTGATGTGTGTATTATATTGTCTGGATTTCCCAACAAAACAGTGCTCCCAAAGGGGAACATTGCCAGAATGTGCTGAAAGCCTTCCCCGCCCCCATCTGTGCTTCCTGGAGACTCAGAGGACTGGGTTCTAAGAAAGTGCTGTGGGAATACTAGCCCTGTTCTCTCTTTCCTCCTGTATCCTTTTAAAAAATGTACCTACCTTGTCTGGCTATGAACATTTGTGAATTGCTTATAAATAAAAGCGGAGGGCATTTTCTGTCTTGTGAAATATTTTAATAGTTTTAATTGCTACTTAATAACTAGGTTTTCAAGTCGCCATAGCTCTCATGCCTCCCAGAATTAAAAGTGCCAGTGACCTCCACTGTCCCTTTCCTGGGCCTGGCAGCCAGGTCAGATCCCTGGGCTGTGCAAAGATGTGTGGAGGTCTATGCAGAGTCTATAAGAACTTGCAATTATGTGCAAAGTGGTGTCTTTTTTTCTTTGCATTTCTTTAATGAAAGAATAAGGTAGTTACACTTAGTAATATCCATTCACCTAACGGGAAGAGGGGGTGTTAAATCATTGCATTTTTTGATGAATGGCTTGTACACCAAAAAATAAATTGGACAAACTGGCATAGAGCTCAGTGAACATGAAATCAGCTATTAGAAGAAAGCTTGTGAACAAATTCTGAGGCAGATATGCATCTTTTGATTAATGCCCTATCAATCATCCACACAGCTACCTTAGCTAAGTTTTGCTGTAATCATTCATGGTTGCTTTCGGAAACCATGGCAGAAAATATAGCTCTGCAGAATCAGAATATTATTCCTGATTTCTCCCTAACTTACTGTGAACAATGAATGTTTTCAACCTTGTTTCTGCTTTCCTTTATTAAAGAAATACAATACGGAATGAAAGAAGAGTTCCTCAAAGCCTGGTGGAATTCTCCTAGGGTATTCTTAATGATATTCAGTCTTAAATGGGCAAGCCATTGTAATGGAAGGTTCTCTATAGGAATAATAGTAATGTAATCCCATTGAAGCTGCCTTTTACGGATTGTAGTCAAATAGGAAAAAATGTAGAGCTACATTAATGAACAGAATATATTTCCTGAATTATTACATAAAGTTGTTGAAATAGTCTGAATTTTTTGATTGTAATTATTTTATTCTCAGTTAATGTGCTTAACAGCAGTAGTAATTAACCCACCAGATTGGAAATTTGCATGAGTTCTACCTTTGACATTAGTAGAAACCCTGATTCTTTCTCCATATTACACAGCTCGATAAGAAGCAATCTATATATAATTTCTTTTACTGATACTTTTATTAAAAAGAAACTTCCATGAATGCAATTAGAGTTTTTCATGCATTTTAAGCCACTGGCAAAGTCATCAAGCGTACTTCATTCTTATAAAAGCATTGGGTTCCTAATCTGTGTTGCTCCCAGAACAATTCAGTGCTGCCTACTACTTGGGCAATCTTCAGGTAAGAGCAGTGCTTCCTCACAACTTACTGTAGCCTGGGAAATACTGCAGCAGCGTAATAAAGTGGTGACAGGCATTAGCATACATAATGGGTCATAATAGACATTTAATGCTGTGGAGCTAGAGGAGGGAGATGTGGTCTCCCATTGGGATACTCCTCCATCGAAACCCATTGATCACTGATTTCAGTGGGGAGAGGTTAATCCATCAGCTTCTGTAACCAGACGGCACTGATGGAAATTCTTTAGGTGGCATTCTGGATGAACCAAGCTTTCCATCTTTACAAACAAATGAGTGATATGACAAGCATGGTGTTCAAAACACATTTAGCCAATTGATTTTCTTTCCTCTTGTAATAAGATCCGGAGACATATGAAAGCGTGTGGTGTGAGCTAAGATTAAAGGAATTGCTTCGTGCCCAGGAACATGCGGAACTCAGAGCTCATAAAAGTACTATAAAGCATGTAGTCACCCATTCTCTTTTTTATATCAAGTTTGTTATTGCAATAAATAGTTATTATTGATGCCGTTTACTCTGCTTTGCAGAATCTTACTTCAGGTCGGTGGGTGTGTGTTCGTGCACATGTGTGGCTGTCCTTGGTAATCATCTTACTCTTGGAAGTTTTTAAGATGGTTGGATGTAGTTGTTTCTTCTTTCCCCTTTTAACAAGCAGACCCAGTGTGATTTGGGTTGGTAACATTGTTGGTATAAAGCAGCAGATACTATACCTCTGTGATAGTCCCTGAGATCAATGTAAGTGATGGTTGCTTATTTTTTATCTCCCATATACAGCCCTGCCTTGAGCTTCACCTACCCATCTGCACCCGTCTCCCTCCATATGCATCAGCAGATCTTAAGCCGACAGCAAAGCTTAGGCTCGGCCTTTGGACACAGCCCTCCACTCATCCACCCAGCCCCAACTTTTCCAACACAGAGGCCTATTCCAGGGATCCCCACAGTTCTGAACCCCGTCCAAGTCAGCTCTGGCCCGTCTGAGTCCTCACAGGTGAGAGAGACAGCTCCATGAGCTTGCCTGTCTTGGTCCGCAGAGGAAGAGCCTTGCTCCTATGCCCACCTCTCATACTGCAGTGCCTCGGTGTTCTCATGGCTTCATACTGGCATCCTACCTCTTGTACAGGGTGCATCCTTCAGTTCTGGTAAATGTCCCATGTTCATGCCCATCGTTGGACAAGAGCATCTTCTACCAGATCATTTTCTCATGGGTGGAAAAGCAGGCTCCTTGATCAGGCTTCACTTAGATCTGGCCACACCTGTAAATCACATGAGCTGTAAAGACTGGGGGAACATGTGGTTCTCATCAGGTCTCTGTCCACTCCCGCTGCTGAACCTAGGTTGTTACTGAGCATCATGCAACACTATAGAGTAAGAACAAAGCTGTGCCATTCCCTACATTCCCATTGCCACTCTAATATCCTTTGAATTTGAGAATCTGGATGCTCTCAGGGAAAAGTTTCACCAACAGTTCATTACAGGCTTGCAACTCTCGTCTTTGGGAATGCAGGGTTGCAGCCAGTGAAAGCCTACCACCCCAGCTCTATTCTAGCTGATAAAACCCACACAGAGTTTATGCTCCTGGGGGAAAAGTGAGGAGCAGCCCTGTGAGTGTACCATCCAGTTCTGGTCACGTATCTCTGTTTCCAGGGGACTGGGATATTCTTAGTCATTGTTCTGTGGCCAAATAAACCTGATGTCTTAAGTTGCAGGTTTTAATTATGGTCCCATTCATTGATTGATCAAAACTTAATTTTTGTCTTGGGCTGCACATCTGACCAGCAGAACAAGCCCACAAGTGAGTCTGCAGTGAGCAGCACCGGTGACCCAATGCACAACAAGCGATCCAAGATCAAGCCGGACGAAGACCTCCCCAGCCCAGGCGCACGGGGGCAGCAGGTAGGAGCTCCAGGCTCTGTGTCCAGTAATTCTGTTGCTCCTTAAGCGGGGTCTTGGGGCCAGTGCCCTGCTCCTTCCTCTCATTCCAATTCTGTTATGGCCATGGCCATGGCCATGCCCGTGTGTGATATAAGCAAGGCCACAAGTACAGTAACAGTTTCTCTAGATCGGAAGCAAACAGGAGCAATTCAGGGAGCTGTATGGCATACACATCCTTCATGATTTAGGCAGCGTAGGAGTTTAGGCTACTCATTCATGGAATTTGGCCCCAAGAATCTAATGTTCTGTCCCCGAGTTTAAGCTGAGGCAGGTCAAGTGGTGTTCCTGACACTGTTCATGGTTTTTCTTTCTTTCTTTTTTTTATTTGCTACTTCTGACTTTCAAGGAAATCTGGGAGCAGGTGGTGACACAACTAATCTCATGTCGATTAGCTTCCAGACTCAGCTGCAGGTCTCTTGGATCTGGCCTCAGCTGAAGAATGTGTAGGCTGTGTACGCAATGTCATCTCATGGGTGCCATGGATATCTTGCTCTGGATTCAGGAGGTAGCTCAGGGAATGCTAATTCTCCCAAATAGGTGCTGGACAAGGGTCGAGATATCCATGGTATCTCAGCCTTTGCTGTTGTCAGGTTGCTTCATCCCAAACTTGAGGCTGCTTTAGCCAAAATTTCCTTTTCAGTGAAAACTTCAGCAGTAGAATGCATTGGTGGGTAAGGACTTCAAATCTATCCTCCTCCTTCTGTATTTTGCTCCAAAACAACCTTTCTAGTCTCACCTTAATGTGTGTATACAGTTTTTTATCATCTGGCCCTGGATTAGAACTCAAATCTACACACCTGTTTTGCAGAATTCTGGAATTTCTTTGTTTTGTATCGCTATGAAGCTGCCATAGAAGGCCAGTAAGTCAGGTCCAGGGAGGTAGCACAGTGGGAAAGTGTTTAATTGGCAGGCAGAAGGCCCTGAGTTCAGTGGCCAGTACTGCAAAACACAAACGCAAAATAAAACACCAAGAAGAGTAGAAAAGACTGCAGAACTATGCCCTGGAGTGTTAGATGGTGTGAGCCCTGGGGCTCAGGCTAAAAGTATACTTGGAAACTGGAAGCTGAACCAGGAAGATGCTATCTCTAAGTAGTCCTCAAATTGCCTCCCACAGTAGGGAAAACAGAATTGTTAGCACTTATGAATCATAAATGTAGGAGCAGACGAATTAATACACTGGAAAGCATTAGACCAACTAAACAAATTAGAAGGACCTGTCTTTGGCCAAATTTAATTACTCCTCTTATGAGTTTTGTTTTGTGTTTGGTTTTTGCTTGCACTTTTTTTTAGATGCCATTTTGGTTTATTTTCAGCTTTAAATTCATGGCAGCAAAGTTAGCCTTCAATATTTGGGTCCTCATTATGATTTGGGTTATTGTTTTGAATCCCAAGTTAAAAATACAATCTCAGAGGGCATGTTTGAGAAATCTGGAAAAAAAAAAAAGTACCCAAATGACTCCAGGTGTTTGACTTCTTCCATTCACAAAACCCAGCTGGTAGACCTGAGGTCTGTTTTATTTTTGCTGAAGAATTGCATTAGGAGGAAGGCAAATCTAAAGCAGGTTGCTACTGTTTCTTTGCTTGCTTCCTGTTGTGCCTGATCTTCCTCCTCTGTGTTCCTTTCCCCCATCTCCTGCCTTTCAGGAACAGCCAGAAGGAACAACCCTAGTCAAGGAGGAAGGGGACAAAGATGAAAGCAAACAGGAGCCTGAAGTCATCTACGAGACAAACTGCCATTGGGAAGGGTGCACCAGGGAGTTTGACACCCAGGACCAGCTTGTGCACGTAAGTGACCGGGGGCTCCTGGCCTTGGCCTCTGCTGTGGCTGAGTGACCTTTCCTGAGGAGGTCAGCTTCTTTGGCTCCAAAGGGTCGAGTTTCTTAGCTAGCATAGCTGCAGACTAGAGCGCTTTATGACTGAGAATAAAGCAAACTCTGAGCCACAGTGCTTGACCTGTTCAGTCAGCTAAAGCTTAGTGTAAAATTCAATAAAGTCTTCAATAGCGAGTGTAATGACTCTGATCCTGTAAGCCAGAAAACACTATTTTGAGTTAGCGACTTTGATGGTTATTGAGAAATAGTAAGCTGGACATGAATTATTATTAACCTTTTAACCAAGTTTGGCTCCTCTTCCAAGACGCAGTAACATTACAAAAAAAATGTAGAGGCGGAGGATTCCTTCTTATGTTTATTTATTTTTTTTCTTTCCTCTTACACATTTCTCATTATTCTGTAGGGCAATTAGTACACCATGAAGTTGTATAGATGTCTGGGATATACTGTTAACATCATTTTTGACTTGGGGCAACTCCTGTGGGGTTAATAGCTTCAATGGAAACAATTATGTGTGCTTTTAGATGTGTCTAATGGTGGCTCAGTGGTCAGATTGAAAATCAAACCTTCTCTTACCAAGCCAGGTTCAAATGTCTTTCTGTAGCCTTCCTCTGTTGTTCCAGGTAATACAGGTTACCCCCAGCCCTGCCATATACCTCTTGCACGCTACGTAGGACTTGGCACTTTCTTGAAGGCCAGCGTAGTCTCTCTGGCTGCTAGTACCAAAAGAAAATGACATGTAAGGGCATTTAGAGCATTCAGAGCAAAAGATACAGGCTCGGAGAACTTGTGTGCTGAGGCAAATGGTCCCGTGAAAGCATGAAGGATGGTTTCACCTAATAGGGCAGTTTCTTAAGCTTTTAATAGGATGGAAAATCTGTCAGAGCAGCCCTTGCTGTGATTACCTGTCACATACATTCATTCTCTCTCTCTCTCTCTCTCTCTCTCTCTCTCTCTCTCTCATTCCTCTCCATCTCCCTCTCTCTCATTCTCTCTCTCCCATTCTTTTATAGTAATTTTATATTTTTAGATGATCCCTGTATCTTGATAACTCCCTTGCATTCCGATTAAACACAAAAATTATAAAGTTTCTCTCTATGCGTCATGGGTTCACCAGCTTTTGAAGGGCCTTTGCAGCCTGTGAAATCTGTCTCTTCCTATCCCGGTTGCACAGCCGTGTTAAGTGCACAGCTTGCTGGCTTGTGAGAATTGTTACATGCAGAATGTTTTGAGGATTTACTATGACATCACCAAGGGCCCCACTCCCGTTTCTTTTTAATCATGTCTCTTTGTAATTGTATACGACGAATTATAGGTTTCCAAGCATGCTAAGAAAAAGAAAACAAAAAACCCAGAAAGTCAAATGTTTTTAATTAAAGTGTATTTTCAGATTTTTCTGTGAACGTAATTTGATTTTTTTCTTTTTAATTTGATACAAGTATTTTAAAAGCAAGTTTGGATTTAATGGTCCTTTATTCTTGCTGACTACTTTAATGAAATCCACAAAGACATAGTAAGACTGGGATAGGGAGAGATGGACTTTTTTTTAATATGAAAAACTGCTATCAAAGACTAGCAAGCATGTGCCATGAATATTCTCAGTGATATAATTAGTGAACAATGTAAATAAAGAGAATTGTGTGTATCCTACAAAACATGCTTGTAGTGCTACTTGTTTAAAAGCAATTTTCAGAGAATCTCAGGGTGTGGCTCAGAGAAAGAACTCATGCTTAGCGTGTGCAAGGCTTTGGGGTTCCATTTGCAGGGTTGAAAAAAAAAGTTCTTCTGAGGGACAAAAGATTTTTGGAGGCTGAGTCATTATAGTTTCCAAAGAGGACTGTGTTACTGGTTCCTTCATTAATGCCTGAAATGTGAAATGGGGGCTTCTTTTAAGTATAGATTTTTAACAAGGTGAGCTGCTTGTGACCAGGTTTAGGGTAACATTTTTAGGATGTGAGGCCAGTTTAACCTTTGCCTGCCTCACTGATCTGAAAGCTTTGACAAGACAGCGAACTTCGCAGGTATTTCACTTTAATCTTCGTTGCAAAAGGTCCCTGTGACATTTTCATAAAGAGTTCTGAACAATTTTAAGGGAAGGCTGATTAAACCACCACCTGAATGATCAAAAAAACAAGGACCCTGGTTCATGTCATTTAACAGTACACTTTCTACAAGTGTCCGAATGTAGAAATCCCAAATTTGAACACTGAAATTCATATCACTTATCTGGTAGCATTAGCGGTGGCCTGGAATGGGAGAGATGCTTCCTATTTTCTGATTGAAAGAAAAGCTACTTCAAATCACCTAATTACTTGGGGGGCGGATGGGATATATATACGAGTTGCAAAGCCCACATTTTAAGGACAGAGAGAGGCATTAACCATTTCTGCTCCTGTGACTTTCCTGGGCCCCAGGGTTTGTGCATTAGTTGAATTTCCATGCCACATACAACCAAGAGGCAAGGTGTTAAACCATTTGGTGCTCTGCCTTATTTATAGCCATGACCCATTCTTTTTTCCCCTCTTACAGTTAATAGAAAGATTCATGATTCTTCATGGTTGTCTATCTACTGTCTGACAGTCCCGACTGCCTGCTAAAGCAGGTCACTATCTATAATTGATATCCTTCCCTGGAATAGGGTGCTGGCTGCAATTGAAGGGCTTTGCTGAAAGCTCTTAAATCCTGACAAGTTCTCCCCTTGTTCTGGTTCAGTCACTGAGCTGCACGGTTGGAATTCCGGAGTTATTTGAACTTAGTGCAAAGGGAGACATGTGTTTCACATTAGCAAATCACAAAGTTGTAGAAGAGAATTAGGAACTCAGCTGACTTTGCCTGCCAGGTCGTCTCATTTCCAGTGTAATGCGCTCCACGACCTCTCGAGATTCCTCCTCCATTACTGTCTGAACAGATGGGCTAAATGTGATCTCTTCCTTCCTTTCCCCTTTATTTCAAGCCTTTGCTCTTTTGCAGTAGGTCTTTGTTCTAAGCTTTATCACTGGGATGTTTAATTAATTCCTGTTTCTAACAGTATAATTATTACTGGTCTCAAACTGGTGTTAAATTTGCTGTAGATTTACCTTTAGGACCAGAAGCTAAGAAGATAAATGCATATTTTTATTAACCAGGTCGTGTTGAGCTTTGTCCTCATCTTGGTGTCCATTAAAACAGGATGGAGTAAGAAAGCAAGATGGGTATATTGTACAAAAATTAATTTGTGTATAAAATTACTGAATTGACCAAATTTACTATCAATTTGTGAAGATGCAAGCATTTTCTCTTCCGTTGCCCCTGAAAGATGAATATTCTAACATATCAAAGAAAGTTGAAAGTGCACGATTTTGCTTAATTTCAAGCTAACCAAGTTCTTTTTTGTTGTGCTTTATATTAAAAAAGACACGAATGTCAAATTTAGTGTGCTTCTGAAAGTCAGTTTCAAAGACAGTATCAGTTTCAAAGTGCCTTTGGCTTTGGTCTTGCTGTTCTTCTCCTGTTTCACTTAGCTTCTGTTACTGTGTAAAGCAGTTCAGCGGGCTTCTCCCATGGAGGAGAGACACCTTCTGGCTTTACTGAGGCCCCTTCCTCTCTTGTTTTAATTCTGTCCTGTGTAAGTTCCATCTATAACTCTTTGAAGGTTGAAGCGTCTAAGTAGTCACAGCCTGCCGAAAAAGCTCGCCTCAGGTTGTCTGAAGCTTGCGTACTTTGGTTGTGAATGACATCTTGTCCCCACCAGTGTTTCCTGAGGCTCTCTGGGAACAGGAGAAGGAATAAATGTGAGGAACTCGCGGCTCCTTAGTAGAGTCTGCACCGCTGTGTGGCCAGTTATGTTTGAAAACATCGCAGCTGAGATCTGAAGGAATAAAGCCATTGTGATCACCGAACCTCTTTCCCATCTGTTTGCTGTATCGCCACAACTCTTTGCCCTCAGTTCCAAGCATTCCACTCTTTATAGCCATTCAAGAAATAATGCATATAAAAATCTTCCTGATGGTCTTTTAAAAGTGAAATTATTTTTAATAGTTTTATTTTCCAGCCTTATTCTCCAGGCCTGGCCTTTATCCCCGGGGGGCCTTAACTTCTCCCTATGAGCCTGAACTGCTTGGAATATAGAGAGTATTCAGAGCAGCACCCAGCTTCAGTTGGGTGGCATTTCAGCCTCTGTAATCCCCCACTTGTATCTTTTAAGCACGGTGTCAAAAATTCCCCTTTTTGTGGAGTGATTAACCACCTACTTGGATTTTAAATGCTTTCATATGCTGCAAATTTTGATCTCTGAAGTTTCCTTTATCCAAAGAATGCAGTTATAATCACCTTTCCTGCCTTTTAGAAACACATTCTATACATCAGCGGCATAAAAATGAAGGGACTTTCTTTTTAATGTCATAGAGATTTAGATATAAAGGAAGCACATCTAATTTGTGAAGAATTGATGTATCCGTAGAAACACAAAAAAGTGAGAGTGTGAAGACATTATTTTCATATTAATATCATGATCTTAAATTTGCATTTTAAATGTTTCCCATCTCATTTAGATCCCTTTGCCAAAGTTGCATTGTAAGTCCTTACCTAGGAGAAAATTGGGTTTAAGATGTGATGGGGGTCTCAGATATGAGGCAGAAATTAGTTTTGTGTGCACATAAAACCTAAAACGAATGAGTGGAGATTTTGATCTTATTTGCCTCTACATGGAGTTGCTAGTTAATTTAGTTACTCTAATTATTTGGAGACATGGCATGTAAAATATAGACGAAGAACGACAAACTTCAAAGCCATCCTTTGACAATTTTGCCTTAAGGACCATGTTCTTTGTGAATCTGCTGACTAAATTGCACCTGCAAAAAATTGCTCCTGTGAACAGACATCCACAGAGAGGATAGAGGGCCAGGGTGGGAGGGCTGTGTGGTCCCAGCTCGAGCACCCACAGGCCCAGCTGGAGTTCTGAGTGGCAGCCTCATC